TTATTTTGGACTGAATTAGATGCATCTGCATCCAGATGCGTTATCAAGACTCATCCTCATTTGGGTGAGAATTTGAGATGAGTTTTAAGAAATTCAGTTGGGTGATCCATCTGGATGTAACATTTTAATGTACAAAACGAACATTGATTTGCATCTTCACCCAGATGGATCACTTGAGTGAGCAAACGAACAGCACCTTGATAACTCAACTTACTATGCTTGAGAGACAATGGACATGAACTCTTGATCTGATTCCAAAGCTTCCATGATCTCTGGAAGAAGGCACACTTCCAAATCTATGCTTCCTCCACCTTCTCTTCCCGGATAAGCTGATACCTTCCCGTCAACCTTATTGCCATAACCGCTTCTAACCGCAACAGCTTTTCCCATCCCAAACTCGCTTCCGTACTTGTTAAACCACGGGGAGCTTCCGACATGAACTACGTTCGTATCGAAAAAACGCAGATTAGAAGGCGACTTCAACCATCTATCCATGTCGGAAGAGATCTTCTCGTCGTTGTGTTGGGCTACAGCTTGATGCAGCTTTAAAGCAGCCCATCCAAACTCATTCTCTAAGAGATTACCAGTTTTAATAGTCGCTTTCACGAGAGACACGTAAACCCCAAAGTAATTCATATGCAACGGTGGAACCATTCTTGATCTGTTGCCTGCAGTAAGTCTGCAAGTAGTTTCTTGATCATTTGGTAATTTTCTTGCTCTTGTAATGCTTCTCCACAAAAATGCGATCAATGACTGAAAAGACGAAATAGTTGTTGTTCCGCACTCTTGATTCGCCTTTGATTTCAGTGATCTCACTGTTTCAGATGAGAAATGGAACATTCTCTCCTTCCAGACGGGAGGTTCCATTCGACGAATCGAGTCATCAGGTTTACTGAGAGGAAGGCTGCAAATAGGACCGGACCCTTCACGAAAGATTGGAGGATTCTTGAGACGCAATAGTTTGTTATAAGTGGTTTCTTCTTGTGAGTTGAAAATCTCGGACAATGAGTTAAAGAACTGCCAGAAGGAACTTCCATCTCCAATCGCATGATTCATAGACAATCCTATGAACACTCCATCCATAAGTTCTGTTACCTACACAGCAAACAAACCAAAAACAAACATCAGCTTTTCTTACTATTAACCTGTTGACAACAAATAAGTAAAGTCATCCTTATTAAAATGAACCCAAATTGAAATCCAATATGGAAATGAACCAAACTGAAATCCTATTGGGATCTCGATTGCCAATCTTAAGAGGGAGGGTACAATTAAATATTAAAATTATATTCTATATTTTATATAAAGATAGTTAGTACACAGAAAAATAATACTTATACTATATGGATGTATTATACAGTATAGATTTAAAACCGGAACCTCTCTCTAAAACAGTTTTCTCTTTAATCGTTGTTAGAACGGTGGCCGGTGGCTATGGCCGCCGGTTACCACCTCTTTCTTTGTTTTTTGGATGTAAATAGTTTCGATCGTCGATCCACTCTTCGCTATGGCGATTTCTTTTTCCTTTTGAGGATTTTAGAGTGATAGATTCAATTAATCAGAGCCGGTTATCATTCTAATCTTTCTCTGATTTAGTTGAATCTAAATAAAGTTTATGAAAAGTTTTAGCCTTTCGCAGTTCTTCACGTTTATTCCATCAATTATTTAGTTGGATGCTTTGTTCATCATTTCAACTGAACATTCTTCCATGAGAGTCAGTCTTTACTGTTAGCCATAAATTGGTGTCTCAGGGTAAAGCTTCTTTGTCGAAGAATGATTTGAGTTCTTTTGAGTTTCTTAGATCTTTATGAGGATGATTTAGTAGAGTTGGCGTTCTAATAACGGTCCAACAAAAAATCTATCTTCAGTTGATCGAAGTTTCTCCTGGTTAAATCAATGATGAATTAAGCTATTTCAACCAAATACTTGAGGCTTGAGCGAAAGGTCCTTAGGCATCGGCGTTTCAATCAAGTTATCTAGCAGAGATAGTCTTCAACAAAAATTAAAGAGATGCAGCGGTGGAGAAAAGAATTCGAGCAGCGGTGCAGAGAGCTTTTCCGGTGGGTGAGACTCCAAGACGGTGGCCGTTCTGACCGCAAGATGCATGTGTGACGCGTGTTGAGGATGTCTCCCAGGTCGCACAGAAACGAACACGTGGGCTTTTGCAGCTTTTCGAATTTCTTTTAATACATGGGCTGTAATTTAAATCTCTGTTTTGGGCTTTTAAATTTGTAAAACCTGATGCCATATTGCAAACAATGCCCACTGGGCATAGTTAATGAAACGAGAAGTTGACAAAAAAAAAAAAAAGATTTAAAACCGAGTGTTATATAATATAATATGATTTTATCCAAAAATATATGATATCAAATTCCCCCATTTAACTAATTATCTAATAAAATATATCATTCCGCACATGGCGGCACATGGTGAATAATAAAATATCTTATCACTGTTTAACGTGCTCTAATGTAGTTTTGACTTTTGATGAATTTTGGATCAATGCACGAATGAATTTGAGATTTTGAACTCCTGAAAAAAGTTGTACCTTTATAGATAAGAGACTCATGGTATGATCATCGCCACTCAATGCTTTGTGATGATCAAAGAAAGACTGAACAACCAAAGGAACATATTTGGACCCAACAATATCTCCAACACTTAGGTCCGATTTGGCATGGATGAATTTAGCTCCGGGACTGTTATTGCAATCCGCAAACACCGAATATGAACTTGCATCATCGGTTAAGGAACTCGAGAGGCGACCAGCTAGCGGATAGAAAGGCACAAGTGCTGTGGCTAGAGAGTCTGTAAGCTTCTGCAGAAAAGTCTCCATAAAGTATTTCGGTTTGATTGCACCGTTAGATGGTTTGAGAAAGAGAAGACCCTTTTGGATATAGTACAAAGAGAGCATGAAATGACCCATTAGTGATAAATGGTATGCCTCCTCCCATTTCTCAGGCATGGTTTTGGGTTTAACGAAACATTCTGAGATTACTTTTACTTCTGATGAAGGAAAATCCATTTGAAGGATAAGAGTGTTTCTGCTCTACTAACAGAGAATATAGGCTGGATGAATTCATTATATGAATTGAGTACAATATTTATACTGATTATAGTATCAAAGCTAGGTATTACGTAATGACTAATCTACCCTTCTACAGGTATTCTCAACACATCCATTCAAAATGGAGAGAGCTAGTCACTTCAATATAGTGCATCAGTTCATTGAATCGTGATCTCGCTAATGGTCTGGTCAGAGCGTAAGTGAGCTGATTTTTTGTGGAGACATCACTGAAACCCAGAGTGCCCCTGACTGAGCGTTATTTCGTACAAAATGGGAGTCAAGTACAAGATGTTTCATTGGAGAATGGAAAACAAGATTGGCACTGAAAAAAAAGTCAAATCTCGATGTGATTTTTAAATCACTATAAACTATTATAAATTATTTAAGAACCTGTATCTGTGATTTTTAAATCTTTATAAAATATTTGCATTCATTATAAAAAAAAAAAATCAATGTTTTTTTGATAAACAGTACACAAATTTTAGTTTATTTCATTCACTTAGTAAATTAAAGATCGGTTACTTTTAACATATTACATAAATCAGTTCTTTTTTCAAAAAAAATTTCCTTGTCTACAATAGATTTTTCTCAATAGTATAACATAGTTTTGATATAAAATTCCTTTCCTAAGTATTATTTTTTTAGAACTTCTTACTACTTGTCATTTTTAATCAGTAAATTATTAAGAGTTATAGATTTTAATTAACACTATAAAAAAGTAAAAAATAGATTAAATTAAATGTTATTGAAACTCTCCGACCGTCCACTGCTAATGGGCCACCCACGTCCGCTCACTCGGCCCGTGGGCCCATCCTGTTCCAACGGCCGGTCCGTTAATTTTTCAAATCTCTAGAGTTATGTTTACAGACCCTGCAATCACCACATAACATTTCTCTGTGCTATGGCCTCACTTACATGGTATCGTAAATCACTTCCTGATAGGTCACTCATCCTTTGACTACTCCAACTCAAGCACGCTTAACTCTGGAGTTCTCTCTGGATGTGCTTCCAAAAGGTAAGTGCACTTTGGTAACATAGGTAGCCAAATCAATTCTCTTAAATCTTTCTATATATCACAACTCGGGATGTTACAATTCCCCCTCTCTCAAAGATCGCAACGTCCTCATTGCAACCTCACGACATGTCTCAAGACGCCTCTCAGGTCAGAACTGAGATGGCTAACCAGCTTTGATACCACTTGAAACGCCCCGACCGCCCACGGCTAATGGGCCACCCACGCCCGCTCACTCGCCTGTGGGCCCATCCCGTTCCAACGGCCGGTCCTTTAATTTTCCAAGGCTCTAGAGTTATGTTTACTGATCCTGCAATCACCACATGATCTTTCCCCGTGCTTTGGCCTCACTTACACAATATCGCAAATCACTTCCCGATAGGTCACCCATCCTTTGACTACTCCAGTTCAAGCACGCTTAACTCTGAAGTTCTCTTTGGATGTACTCCCGAAAGGTAAGTGCACTTTGGTAACATAGATAGCCAAATCAATTCTTTTAAGTCTTTCTACACATCACAACTCGAAATGTTACAGTTATATCCCCTTCTTATTATTTGAGGAGAACATTTATAAACAAACCTTTATTTCATGTGTGATTCACAACTTTGCCATTTATTAGGTGTCAACACCATATTCCACCTCACAACTCTTTTTAAATAACCCTCTTTGGCCTAGAATAATTACATGTTATGCCATTGGCAAATCAACTTACAAAAATTATTTTATTATATGTTTCTATATATATGCATGTTGAAGACATAAATCATCCCGTAAATGTATCATCGTAATATTATAACTAAATGACTCGAAAATACCTTTGTTATTTTTATCAAAACATTAAACTTATTGGCTTTAATCGTTCATATAGATTCAAATAACGCGAAAACTATTATGTTATTTTTATATTCGAATAACAATTTGTATATAAATCTTCATAGTACATATGTATTATATTATTCGAGTAATATATAGTTTGATATATAAATTTTTTTTTATATTAACATGAATAGCTATCTTATTTTCATATTCACGTTATTTATATAGAAATATATTTTATTTACATGTAAATAAAATATGCAAATAAGTGTATATAAAAAAATATTTTTTATGATCATGTTATATATTTAGCAGGGCATATAAATGTCACTGACGTATAAATAACTGTATATTAAATGTTATTTTTATGATTTACGTTATATATAACGTTACATATAAATAATAAATAAGTGTAACTGAAAATACTATATTATTTATTCGAGTAACATATAGTAAACTATATGTATTATTTATTCGATATATAGTTTACTATAATAAAAATAAATGATAAACATAAATTAGGGATTCATAGAATTAACAACATAGTAAATTATATATATATATTATTCATGTAATTATGATAATGGTCATCACCGCTACAAATGGTAATAAACATAAATTATGTCACTAAATTAAGCAGTCAAAAAGATTTTATTCCAAATTTAATGTGATTGTTTAATCACAATTTTAAAATTGTTGGTGGAGATACATCCAATTAAAATGACTTCTATTTTCTAAAATAGAAGAACATCAAATAGGGTTAGTTACCTATCAATGGAATTTTGATTATTTTATATATGTTTCAATGATCTCCTACCAATTAACATAAATGCGCTAACATAAATGTGCTAACATAAATGCAATTAAAATTAATGTACTAATATTAATACAAAATTCAAAAATCAACTGATTCTAAATTTAATATATTATAAATAATTAAATATTAAATATTAAATATTAAATATGCTAAGTGTATATCAAATTTAATTTTTCATGTGTTTTGATCATATAAAAATCCACAAATATTATAGCGAATGCCTAAAAATACCTATTAATACAAAATTAAAAACTCAAGACATACTAAACATAATATATTATGAACAAATAAAGATTAAATAGGTTAGGAAAAAAATTATACTTATAGTTTTTGCCGGAAACATAGCCGGACCTCTACGATATTTTAGTAACCAATTAACTTATATGCACTAACTATTAAATTTTATTTATTATATTAAGAATATTTGACATTAATTACATAGTATTAACTCCCTATATCTAAACATTAACTATGCATATTTTTGTCTCATTAGTTTTCGTAATTAAACTGGAAAACATGATCAACTAGGGATTCTATACAATTATATTATCAATCAGAAGATATGTAATTAGCGCAAAATATACTAACAATTTATGGTGATAAATTTGTATCCAAAATACTATATATATGGAGTCGATACTATGCCTACAACTCCATCACAAACCAAGCGATTTAAAAGTATCATTCAAAATGCAAGGATTGAATTCATCTCTGATTTAAACCAATGAAGTCGCTATGAAAGATTAAGGTGAAAGTCATTCAACTTTGGAAGCAATACTCGGCTGTTGGTGGAGACCATAGAAATGGTTTTTGTACTGTAATGAGATTTGAAGACAATAATCACATTATTTGGTGTTTTATTTTTCTATTACTTATGTTTCTTTAATTATTATCATCAAAATTTTCTTATGAATGCAATGATTTTATTACCTATTTTTGTTTTTTCTTAAATTTATAATAAATTTAAAGAAATGTTTACTTACTTTTATAGTTTTTTTTCATATAATATATTTCAATGCACATATCTAACTACACAAACTTTTTTCATATAAAAATCAAATAATCTTACATTATAAAAACCTCCACACTGTAGTAAGATATATCATTATATCCAATATTACTTTCTAATATATATATTACGTAATATTTTTTTAATTTATTCACTCCGCGCATGGCGCGGGTTATCATCTAGTTTACTACTATAACGAATTATTGGTTTACTATTCATAACTAATGTTACTGCATTTAATATAAAAATACTAGAACAAGAAATAATATCTCTCATAGGGATTCATCACTAGTTTGTTGTACACCTGTAGGCGGCGACCTTTCAAAATGGGTGCTATGCGTGTGATATAAGTTACAAAGCAATTGCTTCTTATTTTATTTCATTTTTACTTCTTCTTATTATTATAGATAGTAAGAAATAATAATAACACTTCTTATTTTTCGTCTAAAGAAAAAAATAGTTGTCATGTTTTATAAAAGAGCTAAAGAACATGCAGTAAGTGAAATGGACATATGATTCATGACAATTATAATGAGTGAGTGTGTTGTGAAATTGGAAGAGAATTTCTACTACGGGAATGAGAAACCAAAGACGAAGAAAATCTGCATTGCATACGGAGCTGGAAACGCTATGATGGACAATGGAAAATATAATTTATTAATCGTTATGTCAGTGATTTTGAAGTTGGTGATGATATAAGAACTGAAGAGAAGATTTGAAGATTTTAGAATATGTTATATTTCTCGGGAACAAAATGGAACTGCAGATTTTTAGTTGGATCCGCTCACTCTTTTCATAGAAATGTTTGTTTTGTTGATTGTTTTATTTATGTCTGGTTATTCATACAACTCCAAATTTGAGTAATATAATGGTTTTTGATATCAAAAAGTGAGTGTGTTGTCGGAAACAATTTGTTAAAAAGAGCCATAAATCATTCCTTCGTGTTTCCATACATTCATGTTCTAAACAATTTCTCAATGATCTTGTTTCCAAATCCTGATAGCTTTATCTAAATAATTTTCGGATGAACTATCACGTTCTGAACTGGTTGGCAACTCAAGGAAATTACTGCGTCTGTGTGGCCTTTTAGTCTTGCATTATAGTTCTATGCTGAAGATCCCACAAATACACACTGTTGTCTTCTGATCCACTCACAATTTACTTACCATTTGTCATAGAACAAACTGATGTGATGCAGAATACTTTGTTGGTATGTCTTGTGTATAGTTCTATAAACTTCTTCGTCGTAGTTTGATAGTTTCTGTGTGGTTTTATACAAAGCAAAAGATGAAAATCATCAGTAA